ATGCCGGGGTACCGGGGATGCCGGGGTACCGGGGGTGCCGGGGTACCGGGGGTGCCGGGGTACCGGGGAGCGGTACGGCGGTACGGCGCGGGTGCGTTCGGGATGAGCTCCCGTCCCGCCGCGGCACCGCCGCTGCCAATGTCCTCAGCACCGGGGCCTCCCTCCGGGGCCAGGGACACCCAGCGCCCACCACCCTTTCTGACAGGAACAGTCAAAAGTCTGTGCGGCCAGACTCTTCTGTGGCTCTTAGTTCCACTGAAAACCTGATACCCATGTTACAAAGTTCACAAATAAACACAACGTTTTAAAAAAGTCATAATTCATTTGACTTTCCTACTTCACCTCCTCTTACTCCAGTGGGCAGCGCAGCTCCCGTCTCTGGATGTCTGAAAAGGCCGTTTCTGCTGGGCAAAGGCATGAAAGCCTGAAGGAAAATTTGGATTCCTACCTAGATTTCTACAAAAACTGGGACAAATGGACTCTGTCTCCCTCCTCTTAGTCGTACAAACAGCTCACTCTATTCAAGTAATTGTCCTGACATATTTTCATTATTAGTAACGCCATTGCAAGGACCTAGATTAGGCTCTATTTGCAGTATAATTACACTCCTTACCCTGGCTTTACTATGGTAATGTTTATTCTCTGTTCAGTCATCAATTTCGTGGGAAAAGGGACTATTTTCAAAATACTGCTTTTCCTCCCTGAAACACAAAAATCCTTTTCTCTGCAGCTGTACAAAACTTCATTTTAAATAGCAAAGACACTAAATTTTGCAAAAGTTAACGATTTTCAAATTGTATTCACGGTTTTCAAATGTGTATTCAGTATACATTTAGCTAATAGTGTTAGTTTCAATTTAAAAGAGGCATTAAAACACATACTTTTGAGGAAGCACAAGCATTGCACAGAAGCCAAAAGTGAAACTGATTAAAACGAAAGGAAAACTCACTTTTTAATCCAAACATATAGAAATACCAATGAAAAGGTGTGTTGAAAAAAGAAAAATAAAGACTGTGTGTTTCTCTAATTTGCAGTCCCAGTGGTAGCCTAGCAGGGAATGTATTTGTTTTAGGCTGATAGTTTCTACTTAGGGTGATGTATGTTGATAGCAATCTAACCTCAGAGAAACAGCTACTGTCACCACAAAGATGTCAACATCGTGGCATTGTCTGCAATTACCGCTTCAAGATTCGTTGGTGAGGTTTGGTAAACAGCAGAGAGCAGGCCAGCCTGTTCCCAGGAGACCAATTCCCTTTTGTCTCATGATCTGCCTCCTACTTAGCTGGCTGTATCATTGAGACAAATTTTCTGCTCTATTAGGGCTTCCCTGAGGAATTATTTAATCCATTTTACAGGGACTATTTCTCCTGTCCATGAGCAAAATAAATAAAAATACATCTCATTTTATAATCTTGCTTTCTACTAACTCAAAAATTAAAAGTCTGTCTCCAGGATCAGCCAGATTTTGTTTTTGTCAGCAATATGCTAGGAAGATAAGTTAATGTTTGACTAAATTATAAAACCAAGAACTATTTGTCCTAAGGATCAAGGTATTGAATTCGTTCAGAACACAGAAGTTAATGTTCACAAGGGTCATAATTGCTTGAGCAGAAGATTGCAGCACAATTATCTAGGTTTAGTTCTTTAGTCTGATACTGAGTAGCTCCTGGGGATGCACAAGGGGAGGACTCAACCCATCAGTCACACCACAACAATCTCTGAGCAAAGGAAATATTTTGTTAGCATCTTACTCAAAAACAACACTGTTTACTCTCTGTATACCTAGCAGATCAAGCTCATCTTTAAGGTTAGTTCAGTGACAATTATTTCAGGATGAATTTCTTCCAGTCTTTTTCAAGCAACATTATCTGGAAAATGTTCTTCAAGCTCCAATGCCCTTTCTATTTGTTTCTGACAGCCATTTATAAGATATTGAAAAAAAACAGCTTGACAATACCATGAAAGTTGAGCTTCCTTTCACACATTGTGCCATCCCCTGATCTTTTTTAACTTGCTATTTAGATGTCACAAACACAACTTTGAATATATATATATATAATAATTTCAAATGTTATGCTCAGTGTGACCATTGGGTCATCTGCTTCAATCCTGTCACTTGTACAATTCTGGGAATTCTCCTGTGGTAAGAAAGTCACGTAGTAAAATGCTGTATATTTAAAAGGGTAATACAGTCAAAATTTCACTTTGAAATATTTTCTATTGAAAATTCTTTTTTAATATTACAGAGATGATAATATTCTTGTCTTTTAACCCTCCAGCAATGCTTGGAGTTGCAGGAGCAGCAGCATCTTGATGGGTGATCATGCTGGCAGCAGTATCTTAAACTGAGCCAGTTCTGTAAATAAAGCACCCTATGACAACTTGCCTTGTGATCACCAAGTGCCTTTCTGACTGATTCTCAAGATCCTGCCTTTTGATATGAAAGGCTACAGCTGCTTATTTAGGTGAAGCATGAACAAGCGGATCACAACTCTTTAACTCCAAAAACTCCATACTACCATTTATTCTCCTTCCTAGGAAAAAAAACAACATGTAAACTTCATAGTTATTCATACCATTTAATATCATTCCCTGGCACATCCTGATTATTATCTCATTTTCTCTTTCTGGCAATTTCTACTGACAGTATAAATCACATGTTCCATACGCTCCAGATCATTGATTCCTGGTGCAATAACGTGGCTCGCAGGGACCAACAAGGGCTCTCCTGCAGGGGTGGGTATTTTAGAACAACACTTCCCTCTGCCGGATCTGTGGGCGGTCACAGCTCTGCCTGCTGGAGGGACCTCTGCTCCTCCCAGACTGCACGGGACAGCACGAAACTAGCAAATCTCAAAATAATTCATCAGATGAATAGGACAATCATAAACATTTCATCCAGTATCTACTGGACAGAAATATCAATATACTTTCTTTTCAAGACAGAAGTATCTCAAAGCCATAGATAATGTGAAAACCGGGAATCTCGGGTCTGACATATCATATTCCTTCCAAAACCCTGACAGCTTTGTGCCAGATGAAATTAGAAGAGCATTTAAAAACATCTTTTACCCAAATCATCAGCATTTCTTTCTTTAAAGTGTGTAAGTATGTAGGGCCCTACAGAAAAAAAGAAAAAAAAAAAGAAAAAGGAAAAAAAAACCCAAAAAAATCCCACCAAAAAACCCAAACCAAACCAAAACAAACAGTTAAGAATTGCCTGCTCCTCTTGTGACTCTATGAAAACTTAGATGGTGCTACAGTGAATTTTAGTTGAGTGCCACACTTCCTACCTGGCCATCTGTTCCAAACTGCTTGCAATAACCAGAATATGACATTTTACAGGGGGGTTGATGGAAGCTATATATTCAGATACAACTGCCTTGCCTTCAAGTCATTCAGTGTTTGGAATATTGTCCTCAGCTGAGAGTGAGTGTTAGAAGGAAGGGGAGAGAGAACTGCAGAGATACATGACTAAGACCGTGCTTAATTCTTGCCCTCCACAAGGACAAAGACTGATCCCAGTGCAGTACTACATGTGCTGCTAACTCATTTGTAAGGACACCACTGAAAAACACAATTAAGCATTTTACTGAACAAAGATTCTGTTCACATACTCCGCTGAATGAAGGCTTTTAGTGGACTTCAAAACATAGGAAGAAGATGAATAAGCTGAAGATAGAGAAGAAGAGAAAATACAGATATAATTCTAAAACAAAATTCCCCGTTAGGGAAATTTACTTTGAAAAGGCAGACAGAGAGACAGAAACTTTTTCTGTTCCACAGAAGAAATGTCAAGAGATAGGATCAAGGTGGTAATCAGTGTTGAAAGGTGAAACAGGTAAGAGTGCTGAAAGCCATACTGAGGTTAATTGGAATAAGCCACCATTATAAAACAGGAAATGGCTAGGTGGTTCTTGGGCTGTGTTCAAAACAAAGCCTGTGCTAAGCACACAGAAGATGTAGCTGGAAAATATAATATGAGAAGTATTTCACATGAAAAAAAAATGTTTTCAAAGAGTTTGGAGAGGAAATACAGGGCTTGAGAATGAAACCAGAATGTCAGGATTAGGGGGAAGGAAATAAAAAGCAAACTCAACAGCATAAGATGGCGCAAGCAATGCTTTCCTAAGCAGGTTGCTTTCCAGCCCGTACCTTGTTTTTTTATGCTGAAGAATGGGATTCTCTGTGTCATGTCAATGGTACTGCATTCTTGCCTCCTGGTGATCCTTGCATCTTGTTGATTAATTGTAAAGTCTCTGAGAGTTTCCAAGGAATTCTGAGGTGGACTCCAAGTTGACAGTGTAAGATGAGTATTTGTCTTCCAAGACTTTTCTACACAAAATAAATGTTTGTTGGCTCCAGTAGCCCTACAGGCATTGTCAGCTCACATTTGACACTTAATACTGCATTACTAATAATTGCTGTGTCTGCTAGAATGCTACTAGCACATAATAATAAAAAAAAATTGGTGCTTTGGGATTCAAAAACCATTCACTCCTATTGCTCACAAATGCTTTGACTCCACTGCGCAATTCTAGTATTGCAAGTACAAGTCATAAAAAAAGACAATTAGGAATATAGCATTTGAAACACTACAACACATGATTTTCTGCAGAAATACACTTTAGTGTATTCTTATGCAGATCCTGGTTTCTCTCAACTGTCCTAGGCCCCTTTCATTTATGCTGTCTTATTTTTCACATTTCACTCACCTTGCATAGTGGTGAGAAATTTATATCTAGTAAATATTTCATTAATTTCCGCTTCAGTATGCTTGCACTCTTTCAAAGTCTTGAATTTTTTGAATTCAGCACTTGTCTGGGGCCAATTGTATGCTTGCTAGAAATCAGAAGTCCTCCAGTAGGGAACTCCTGCCTGTGTTCTTCCATGTCATCACTGTTCCTTTACTTGTTAGGCCTCAGACATGCAGCCCTGATTTCAACTGGGACAGCCCAAGAGGGCTGCATGTCTGAGGATTCCCTTCAAGTTTTCTCTTGCTGTTGATTATAGTCCCCAGCTAATTTTTAATCAGAAGTTGCTGCTGCCTGAGATCTGCAGCCTGGTTTGGGTGCGGCGTAGTTCCCCACTTTGGGGTTACCCAAACTAAGTGGATAAGTTGAACACTTTTGGTTACAAAGTTTCACTTTGCATCATTTTGAAACACTCAATTTGGGCAACAAACAACCAATACAGGCTCTTTCCCATTGAATTTGCCCTTAGGAAAACCGATATCTGTTCCTCCCCTTGCAGTCTCAGATCCCCAGGGAAGCTGTTAGATCAAAAGACCAAAGGCAAATTATTTGTTTTTCAGTGCATATTCAATCTGGATCTTCTCCCCATTCTCTTCAGTCTTCTTTCTGAATGGTCAGTGATTTATCTGAAAAAATTATTCCAAATATCCCTCCAGAGAGTGTACACATCAGTTATTTACTGTTTGAAGCCAGAAAAAATATCACAGAATCACTTTCTGCTAACTTGAGGAACCCATAAGAAAAAAATGTCTCTGCTATATCTCAACAGAAACTTTATGTCTTCAAGAGAGTATGGGAAAAATAAGACAAGAATCAAAGTATCCTTACCTCAACTCAAATACAAGGAAGGTACCTCTGGAATTTGTCAAAACATACTTCCATTGTCATACCCTCTTTCATTATTATTAATGGCATGATTCTACAGGGTGAAAAAAGCTAATTTTGTCCACAAATCCTCATAATATAAAAAATATTTAATTTTAGGAAGAAGTCAAAGATACACAGACACAATATAAGATCAGCATTGGTGGAATGAAAAATATTCAAATAAATTAATTGTTTGTGGATACTGCTAAGATATGCTAGAGCTTTCAAACACTGCTTCACTCTGCAGTTGCATTCAATTTTCTTTCTCATACATTCATTAAAAATGTATGAGGTTATTTAAAACCGGAGTCCTCTCAGCACCTTCTAAGATTACATCTTTAGAGGCAATAAAGCAAGTATAATCTGAATTCCAGGATCACATTAATTGGCCATGATGCCTTTTTTAAAAGAGTGCCAAGATTATACAGTAACTATCTGATAAGCAAATTGTAACAGTGTAGCCTACCAGGAAAGAAAAAAAACCCTCATTATTTTTTAATGAGAATCAAAATAAATGCTTACAGCACAATCTGTTATGGTGAGTTCCTTGGCACATATTTGGAATGTTTAATCACAAAACAATGTAGTCAGACACGAGTCATACAGCTCACCCCAAGTGACTAAAAAATCCTATGCATTTGTTTAATAGTCTATACCCTGAGTAATATGGGAAATTTTTACTGAAGCATTTCCAGCTTCCTAGACCTCCCTTATGCAATCCAGCATTAGTCACACAGTGTGGGAGCAGAGAGTCACATCCTCTTCTCCAATCCAGATGCTGGCAGGACTCAGCCTTTAGGAATAAATCTGGGCTTGAGAGATTTGGGCTGGACTTCTTCATCTGTATTATCATTCATTCTTTTCAAGATGGCACACTAATTCCTCAGAACATCTCTTCAATAAGGATTTGCAAAAGACAAGATTCATACTCTTTCTTTAGCAGGGCTTACAGCCTCAACATGGCAGACTGTGAAGTGGTAGCAGGGCCGTGAGCTGGAGTTAAGGATGGTCCCTCCCGTTAGACTCCAAATTATCCATGGCTGAGAGGTGTGTGGGTGTCCTGCCTACCCTATTGCACAGGCATGAGTACAGGACACCGAGCTGCTGCAGCCACCAGCATGCCTTCCTGTGCTTTTGCTTGAAAAGCAGGACTTGAAAAGCATAGCTGTGCAATTCTGAGGGAGCATATGAACAGAGGAAGATACTAGGAAGAGGAATTGTGAGCAAAGGATTCTCTCATCTGCTGTCCAGTTGATTTTGTAATGAGAAAAATAGGCTTTTTCCCATTTCTTGTTAGTAAACAAGTCTGTGACAAAGACTTGTATGTCCCATCAGTAATTAAATGTTTTTTCGTGTCCATGAAAAAAATCTTTAGGGCCTTAAATTCATCCAAAAAGGAAATTACAACATATACCTTCCTTTTGGATCTGCCATATAAAAGTTTTATTTTTATGACTTGTATAATACCACTTTGGAAAGTATTGGCTATATGCCAAGGGAAAGCCGATTTAAATTTTATGATTTTCATCTCTACTTTGATTTCACCAAGATACAGGTTTATTAGAGTCTTATCTACTGCAGCTAGGGTAGAAAACTCTGACAGACAAAACACAGCTGAAGTCATCTGATTTTTTATGGACTGTTAATAGTGTGCTTGGACACCCAAATTCTGCCAAGTAATTTTGTCCTCTTCAATGGAACTGCCTCACTAATCAGTTTTGAAGTGTAGAAACTCCTGACCTCCTTTCTTATTAAAAGAAAATTAAAAAGATAGAGCTGGATATTATAAAAGGAAATTAGACTAAAAATGCACTAATTCTTAGTTCTAATGAATGAGAATGCATTAAGCTGCCATAGTAGACTTTTATTAAAAATTGGGGAGGCATAATTAAGCACTCACAAAATTATCAAGATGCTTCTAAACTGCACCTCAGTACAAGATACTTGGGGTGCTTAAAAAAGGACAGAAAAGCTAAATTTGGATGACAGCACAGTTAATTTTAAAATATAGAAATAAATATTATTTTTATGTATGAAAGATAAATCTAAAAAAGTAAATGCCTCACTACACCTAAATGTATTTCTTTAGCTGAGCCCTGGGTTTCAAGACTGATTTAATTTTATTAAAACTGTTGAATGCTGCATCCATCAGACAATGTATTTAATCATTAGGCTCCATGTTCCTGTTTACCCTGCCGTGCCAGAACTAGTAAAATTCTTTTAAGTTAGTGATCTTTGAAAGAGGAATTTTGGACCTTCACACTGCTCAAAGTGTAGGAAGGCTGGACTGCTTACTGTTTCTCTAACACTGATGAGACAGGCCTCCTTCAAGACCATCTGACTGATATGCAAAGTGAAGATTTCCTGCTTAAAGCACTTAGTACCATTACATTAAAAAAAAAAATTGTAATTTTAGGGGTAAAAATTAAAAAAATTTCTATTACACATAGGTAGCAACTACAATTTTAAGTTGTCCACTACTACAACAGAGTTTGATTGTTGCAGAAGTTGGACTTCTTATATGTTTTTCATATTACTTCAGTTGAAATTTAAACCAAAAGTGCTGCACCAGAGGCTGCAGAATTGTTACTAAAAGAACAGACACTACTGTCTTTGCCACCTTAATTAAACTGCAATGGATCTTATTAATTGAAATGCTCTAAAGATTCTATTTCACCAACAGGAGTCACAGTCTTGCAAGAGAGGAAATGTCAGTGCCAGCTGAAGCAGACAAGATTCAAAACCGCCCCTATTCTTGACTATCTCTGCTGATCTGGTAAACACTGAGCATCACTCAGGGTAAGAACTCAAACAGTGCTTGTTTCATCATCTGAGGATGAATCAGGAGAATCTTACCAGCATCCTTTCAGCTGTCTGTATCATGGGCCGAGACTAGACAGGATGATGCAGAAGCCTGGGAAATATCATAGTTTATGGATTAACCCACTACAAGCCTCTGAAAAATACGTGTATCAGTGGAACAAAGGCCAATGGTAGGCTAAAGTTTCTTTTTTTTCCGTTTTTGAAGCTCGTCATGATACAGCAGAGGTTGGGATCTGCTGCCCTCCAGTGCATGCTTGCAGATGTCCTCTCTGCCAGAGGACTGCATTTTGAGACTAGGAGAATTCTCAAGAAACATTACCAAAAAAATAGAAAAAGTGATAAATTTTTTGAGTGTCTTATTTAGGATCTAAAATAATTGCTGTGACTTGTTTAATTTTGCTGTTTTGTTCTGGTCTTGTCAGAGTATTTCTACATCTGAGCAGAGTGTTCTAGTTTGTTCTATGAAATTTGTTCTCTTCAATGAGCGCTTAGTCTTTCATTTTCTATGAACACATACAGCGATTATATACACAACACAATATATATGGTAATGATATGCAAATAGTGTATCTATCCCATTTCATATCTGCATTCTGTCCGTAATCCTTATCTTTGTGATTCTTTCTGACACATCAGAGATCTTTCTAGCATCCACATTAAAAGGAAACACTGAATACTTGCTGTAGAAAGTATTTTCTCACTGGCTTGTATGGTTCTTTCAAAAATATTTTTCTGTATTATTGAACATTTTTGAACAAGAAATGTATTTGACACAATGTCATGCCAGGCCCTTGTCAAATCTGATTTGTGGGTTCTTTCAACTCTGCAGAATCACAATTGGACTTAGCATAAAAAATTAAGTGGAGTTGTATGGTCTTTCTCCTAAACAATGATGTACAATGACGTAAATGACCAGTACAATGGTGTTGATATTAAGGCAAACCAGTTTTGTAAAGATTTATAAGAGCAAGAAAAGTAGGCTGCAAAGACATTTCATATATATATATATATATACATATTTCTAACTGAATAATCAAATTTGGTGGTGATGAGGGGTTGATTAAAGGGAGCATTTTCATTTACAAATTGAGCAAGCCTCTGTCCTGATTGTGAAGGGGAACGTTAAAAACACAGATTCTGTGAGTTTATGGAATACCTTAAGAAATCTGGAAAATCTCTTTCTTTCCCCTAGAAGTGGTTAACTTAGGCAAGAGATAATTTTTTTACGATTTTGACACTTTATTCACTCCAGAAAAGCCAAAGCCCAAGAAAGGCAACCAGTTAGCCTAGTTTTCCCAACAGAGAGCTAAGTTGTATGATGCCTGGGAGATGCTACGTACATGCGTGTGTAGCTCCATAACAAGATGTAGTCGAGCACGAAGAGATGAGAAAGAAAACCCCGTAATTAAAGTTCTGACTAAATAAATAAATAAATAAATAAATAAATAAAATCAACCATAACTTGGGGGTGAGGCCTTGGTTCGGCTTCGGCCCCGTCGCTGCGTAGCACTGCGCTCAGTCCTCTCGCCCTCAGCAGCTCCTCACCCGCACGGCGGGACTGGCGGGACGGGCGCTCTCCGGCCCTCGGTCTGCAGGGATGGCCGCTCTCCGCCCCTCAGAGCGGCGGGACGGGCGGGACGGGCGCTCTCCGGCCCTCGGACTGGAGGAACGGGAGGNGCTTGTTGTCCCGCGGAGCGGCCGGGCCGGGCCCGGGGAGCCCCGGCGCTGACCGAGGGGCCTGTGTGTGAGGGTGGGCGGTGTTGGTGCCCAGCAGGTTCCGGCCTCCCCAACCTCGTGCTCCAGGTTGGAGATACGTGTGGGTGGGAGCTAAGTGCAACACGGAGTGGCTACATGGTAGAGCTACTCTACGAGGGGAACAAAAAAAAAGTAAGAAAAAACCCCACAACCTCATACTGCTCCTTAATCCGTATGGTAAAATTTATTTGTCCGCACACAATTTGCTCCATTTCTTGTAGATTATGGAATAAGAAATGACAAAATGTTGACTACTATGATAAATCTTTCTCATACAGCAGTTTTTAAGTTCAGTCCCTTGCCCAGCTTCCCTGAGTACAATGATTTTGGCAACAGTTTTCTTGGGTCGATAAGCCATCTAAGCAGTGAAAAAAGTCCTGGAGAGCCCTCCACTGGTAAAATGGCACCTTTTCTTTCTCCAAGGCTTTCATCCTCTAGACAATAGGAAGACAGTCCTTCAAAGACTTGACAGAATTTATGTGAGGTGTAACATTTTCCAGGTTTGCGTATCCAAAAAATATTAAGCCCAACACAAATATAACAGGCATTATATTTACCTTATGACATTACTGTGGTGGCAGACAGGCATTTAGTGTTTCTAGTAATGTTTGTTACCGAGGCTCCACAGTAAAATGAGACTATTTGTTACCTGAAAAAATGCAGCAGCTTAAGGGGTCTGATCAAGTGTCATTCAAGCTCTCTGACATGGTTTTTCTAGAGATGGAATAACTGAAGCTCAAAAATGAAGGAACAGCAGCATTTGGCCTTTTGTTTAAAATGGGAAAAAGTCAATTTATTACAAAATTGTAGCTTTTTATAAAATGCCCCAGAGGTTCAGCAGCATCCCAGTGTCAGGCTACTGTATGACCAGGAGGTTGGGCAGCTTGAAGGGAGCAGAAGAGCCTACAACTCAGAGATTGTATCTATGCTGGAACAATTAAAAAGCGCATCATGAACTAAATAATTGTTACTACACAGATGTATTAATCTATTTCCCACGATCAAGTCCACCTGTATCTTCCAGTCTAGTTGAAGTACCAAACCTGAGTTTCCACCCAATTAGCAACCAGAATGTGTCTTCCTACCCACTAAAAAACATGTATGCACTGACCTTTCTGTTAGCCTTGCTTGCTTCTCACTCCCCTAAAAATACAGAAAGCTGTAGAAGTAGCCCTTTGTTATCCCTTTTCCTCTAACATGCTAAATTTCCTGATTTCTCTCATGCAAGCCTGAATTCCAGGAGGACATAAATGCTTCAGAGCACTGAAAATTAGAATGGGATGAAAATAATTCCTTATTTAATTTCTGGGTTTAGCAGACATGACTCTTGGCCAAAATGCTGATGGCTGACTCCAAGATTGAAAAAAAAAAAATAATAAAACTAAGAAAGAAATTAATATTACCTTTTAATTCTCCTGCAAAGATCAGTGCATTTTCTGTGTTTTAAGGACCTTATAAATCCTGAAGATAGTTGAAATGGGGCTTGCAGTACTTCTCTAGTTGCCTGGCATTGTGTAACTTGCCTGATCTGGAAGAAACTTTGAATCCCAATGATAATAACTTAACTTAGGATAATATAAACATCTCATTGATGTGCCTTACACATACTTGGTTTTGCTAAAACAAATACAGGGTAGTAATAGATAATGTATTTATCGTAAAAGTAACAGGAAATAATTCTCTTGAGCCTGTGGTATGTCTTAACATGACATATAAAATTATAATGGGAATGTGTGTGTTTGGAAAAAAAGAGTAGGCCTTGCCTTTTTTTGGAGATCAGTGTGTGGGAGAGTATCCGGTTATACTGAGGAATCCCTTCCCTTTACATCCCAGAGCAGCCTAAGCAGAGGTACTCACTCCACTTAGGTTCAATGTTCTTTTATTTCTAAAAATGCCTCTTTTCTCATCCACTCAAGGATGAGAATAAAAGAAGTCATAAAAGTACTTTATAGAAGACTTTTTCATATAATGGCCAGTAGTTTTGTCTCTTGAGTCTGAATAAATGCTGTTCAGTTTTCACAGGAAAAGTGTCACAGAGAAACAGTGGGAGAAGTGTTACATGCCACTGCCCGTTCTTACTGAGGCTGTTCAGAAAAGTCATTTCCATTATGTTCCTCATAAAGTTTTCTCAGTTTCTACATTTCTGTGGTATTAAAGGTGGATATAATGTTTTCTACAGGTATTTTAGGCACTTGCAGAGATTGACCACGCCACAGTTATACAGGTCTGCTGCTGCTCATGCAGTGTGGTGATTTTGTGTGATTGCCTCATGTCAAATAATGGTTCTGTTTTTCAGTGCACCATGGCACTAATGCTGGAAATATTTACAACTGTCAGTAATTTTTCATACTTTCAAGTTAGTTCTGCATGTAAAGCTTACACATTTTTTGTTTAATTTTTCTGTTTCTCAATACAAAATGAAACAGGCAAAGATATGCATGTTTGTCTCTCTGTGCTAACTAACTACTGCAAGTGTTCACAGTGGGCTGCAAGAATTATGCTGTCTTTGGTCTGACCCTGAGGGAATATCACCGATGTCATGGTCACATTTTAAGACAGCATCAGTACATTACACAAGTAGCTTTTGTGACCTTAAACAAAGGGAGAAATAGAGACCTTCATGATCTTTTTGATTTTACATAGTTATTCTCAACGATAACCTCGAATATGCTAAGTGGTATTATTAGAAATCACTTAAAACGGATTTTCAGGTCTTTTTTAAACACATGTATTTCTTTTGTGTCTTTCAGATTATCTGATGGCTAGTGTCAAAGATTTACTTGCTGTTTACTTTTGTTCAACTTCAGATTAGCAGAGTTTCTTCTTGTAAATTAACACTTACAGATACATTAAATCTTACATTTGCAGATTGCTAAATGAAATGGGGTTGTGGGGCTACTTTGAAGGTCTAATTGAATTATCCACAACTCAGTACTATGTGAGAAAGACCCTAATTTCAGAAGTGAAAATGAGTTTGTAGCACCAGAGTAAGAGAAATGCAAAATCAGCACACTTTTAAAACTTATGCATTGAGGCACCTTTGATTGGCCTTTTCTATTAGTTAATAAGTGCAAAGGACTCTTTCTTGTTGGACTAAAAACATTCTTCTTAATGAAAACATCAAATGAAAATTTGATTTACCTTTTTTCTTTCTGTTCACGAAGTTTGCATGGTATCTTTTTAAGAGGCAATGGCTTTCCTTTGTTTCTAATACAAATAGTATCATTTTTCCTTTTTTTGTTCTCTTCCCCTTCTCAGGTAGCAAAGTCAGGGGGAAAAGAGGAGTTACATACCCTTTAATGAGAAAACTATGGAAAACAGAGTTAATTTTTCTACTGCTGTGGCTACTATGTTTCTGAAATTAGATTTGTGGGTTACTATGTTTCTGAAATTAGATTTGTGGGTTACATGTTTCTAACACATTTCAGTCATTATGGCAATGTGATTAATATATATGTTTTAAAGTATCTTCCGGAAATAGTTGCCTGAAGTACTAGTTCCTACTTCCTTTTTGATAGTTATTAATTTACAGACACATTTTCTCCAGACTGTGAATGATCTGTTACTCTACACAAAGTGCCTTTTCTAGCTGTTTTCAGCCATGGGAGATATTTAATGTTTGCTAAGTGACTGTGACAAAACTTCGTGTAGTTACATAAAGTTCACCGGCCTCCTTCTCCAGTGTGACTGATCATCTTAATTATCCTGATTTCAGCATACCTGATTTGAAACACTTGGAAATGGAGACCAGTTTTAAAGATGTATAACTTTTTTAAAAATTGGCTCTTTTTCTATTCTACATTAGCAATTTTAACAGCAATTTTTATTGCACAAACACATTTTCACAAGAATTCTGACAGAGACTTTGAAGCTTGAATTACATTAGTCTTAGCTGTTATTCAAAGAAAAGAAGATCAGTGTTGTCAAATAAAGGAAACTTTCCTTTTACATGACGCTCAGAAACATTTTTCAGTCAATTAGAGAGTTTCATCCTCTATGCTTACAACTGTGACAAGGTAATAATTTAGTAGCACTTACTTAATTGAAACAAAATCACTGTGGGGAAGAGGAGAGTATCTTACTTTAAAATTTCTTAGTGATGTGTAGGAACTCCTTCCTAGAATCTGTAAGGTTTTTCAGGTCACTTATTTATTATGCAGGCATGTTTCTTGCTTCCCGAAACTTCTGTTGCCATGGCATTAGAACATGCCAGCTAAGAACAGATTTGCTTTCCAGATCCATCAAACATTCCACCTCTGCAGTAAGTATTCCTTCAGCTCCATAGAGAAAACTATTTCATGCTATGTTTTAGAAGTGCACTAATTTTGCAGTGTTGCAAATATGTATGCTTTAGCTGTGTTTTATTTCTTGTTATAGATAAAAACATTTGCTATCAAGAATAAGGTATCTGAATCCATCAAAAATTAACCACACTATCATAGGAGAATTTGATGATTATTGCTTTGTGTATCCTTTTCAGTCTTTAAAGTCACATCTAGCACATATCACGCCAGAAAGATTGCCTAGCTTTTAGAGAGAAGTTTGAAATACAGGAGACAGGTTCAATCTCAGCTTTATCACAGGCTTTTGGTAAGACAATTTATTTCTTTTTATCTCAGTTTTCCTTTAATGATATGAGAGTAATGTTACTTCTTGATGCTGCAATAACAAGGGGTCTACAAGTACCTTAAACTTAATTTTATATAGAATCTACTCAATTTCCCAGCTTAATTGCTTATAAGATTGTGTAACTTCATTTTAAGTCTTCCAGTTATGTTGAGAGAAAACAGCTTTGCAACATGACAGGCAGCTGGAGGTGACACTCCGCATTCTGTACAGAGCACCGGAATGTAAATTGTGTTCCCAGTTCATCTAGTCAACAAACTGGGTCAACTAAGGCACAGATCCTTCAAAACAGATGCTTGAAGCATTATACTGGAAAGTTGTAGCATATTTTGCCTGTGTGATTAGTTTCTTTTAGTGTGCAAGCCACTTTGTAGGTCAGCTTTTGCCCAAGTCAGTTTTTCATGTGCTGTATTTATATGCTATTTAACTGAGCTGAATATTCACATTAAATGTCCTCAAATTTAATATTGGTTGTTTGTTTTGTTTTTTTTTTATTTTTTTATTTTAATTTTCTTAAGATCTTGGCTTAAGTTGTAGCTCTTGACAGTGTATTCTAGAGTTTGTATGTGTACTGTGTCGGAGTGTTTGCTTCCAACATTATTAAGCTTATTGAAATTCAATTTCATTACAAGTCTCTCTGAATTAAGAAAAAAGATAAGTACAAGCAGCACCTGGCTTTCTATCAGGTGCTTCCTAAAGGAAATAAAACAGAGAGCACAATGGACTGATAAAGAAGCCTAGTATCTTAGGCCTAATCAAACAGAAGCCATGAGAGAAACAGACACAGATAACTACTCCCTGGGGTAGAAGTGACCAAGAGATATGTTGTGAAGCTTTTTAATGATTACCAGGTAATTGAGGTCATGAAGAATGTGTACCCAAATGGGAAATTGTTACCAAAAATAGAACCCTATATAAGTTCCATACAAGTAAAATCCTATATAAATGCCTTGTATACTCAATAAAATTTGCTTCCAATCTCAACTCAGATGTCCCCCATCTCTCAATTTCCTATACTTCCCTTGTTAGAAATTGTTAGGGAAAGTAAGAGGTCATCTAGAGCCTGATGAAGACCTGGCTCTCCTGCTTAACACCCATCTTTGACTCCTGGAAATCCTAGCCTTGCACTTAGAAATGGATTGGAGATTATCAGGTGATGACATAACTGGGCTGAAAGAAAAAAGTGTCTTAAGATTTGTCGTGAACTTCTGGAAAAAAGAATGCCAATGAAGGTTTCATTTTGAAATCTCAGCTAATTAGTTGGCTTCCCCAAAGTAGTAAGGTTGACCTGAACCCAGCTGTAATCTGAATCTGTGAAAACCTGAAAACTAATGCAAGTCCTACTATTCTGTTTTAAAACTAGTTCCAAGACATAAGAAAGAAATATGTAGAAAGACTTGAATTGTTAAATATTGAAACCTATATAATATGGAACAGTAAGGTGAAGGCTTATTTTAGTGTCAATGCATTTTTAGCTAGGAAGGTTACTCAATGCAGTTAAAATTTACATTATAGTTAATTATAAAAGTCCTGCAGTTGATAAGCATTTACCTTTTAGCAAATTGAAACAATTTAAGGAGAGGCAGTGCATGGAATAAATTTACTCATGGCAGCATACAGAATTCTCATTGTTAATTAGCAAGATTTGAGGTGAGTCTTAGTCCTTCCTCTACAAGAAATAATCTAGCATGTAAAAGAAAAGACACATGTGTGTGTCTTAGTGTAAGTATTACCTGTGTTGTTTGTATTTTTAAAGTACAGCCAAACATTAATCATATTTACCAAAACATACACTGTAAAATCAGATTAATCTTCTAAACAATATGTATGTTTTTAAATAAATGCAATACAGATTACCTTGTCAGGACTCTCCCTTAATTCCCTCTTGTTCTGTGTTAAGAAATCTGGCTTGACTCATCTAGTTATCTTAAAGGTTTTATTCCTGAGGACAACTAAAAGTGCTCCGTGTTTGATTCCTCTGGTGTTCGTGTCACAAAGATGAGGTCAGAATCAGATGTGTTGAGAAGACATAGGAGCAGAGAAGATTCTGTTTAATTTTATAGCTTCCCATTGTTCATATCACAATGTATGAGATGGCTTCATTACTGTAAGCAGGTTGAGTGCAAGCACAGACCTGCTGCATACTGTGTCTACTGGGAGTCATTTCTATGGATTCAAAATTGAAACTTGAGTGTCATGGTAATGCAGACATTTTCATCTCAGAGTCTGCTGCCTAGAATATGGTTTTTAAATCTTTCTGGTAATAACAATAGCTGGCAGTCGTAAAAGTAACTAAAAATCTGTAGCTTGACTCAGAGAAACAGGAGTGTCTGGAGTGTTGAGGGACTATGTAATTTCCATGTAATTTCTTTTCTGGTATCAAGCTAGTTTGCAAAGATATATATGAACTTGCACCTTTTTTGTTTGCACATAGAAATAAATTTGAGTTTCTTTTTCCTAACTTCCTTTTCATTTTTAGCTTACAAATATCACAATTATCAGTAGGTTTTTCTCTGCCTTCATATAGAGTAGTCATCACAAACCTATTTTAAAGTTTTCCAATTTGAGGTATGAATATACAGAAAAAAAATATTCTGATGTGGTTTTTCTGTGCTCTAAATATTATATTATAAATATTTTAAAGTTTAAAAAATCTGAATGAAAATAAAAAATGTCTGCTATTTTCTTCTTACCCATCAATTTAACAAATAAAATTCCATTCCAAATACATGCTTTCCAAGCTGGATTGAGCAGGAATTGAACTAGAAATAGCATAGTCTTTAAGCTGTTAGTATATAGTAGAAAAGAAAAAGAAAGTATGTACACTATTTTTTTTTCTTTTAAAGCTATTGAGCTAAATTATGCCCCTCCTCCATCCTTGCTGAAAGTTTAGTGGATTTAGACAATGATGAATGAGAATTTAGGACATTTTTGTGTATTTTCTTGTTAGTCTGAAGTCAAGCTATTATGGAAGCTTTAATGAAAGAGCATATCTGTAATTTTGCGTAACTACCGAATTCAGCTGGCAATGGTATCTTTGAGAAAGCCTGAATGAGGGTTTTCATGCTGAATCCAACAATATCATACTTTGTCTTTCTCAACAAAACCCTTCTGTCTGTATATTTTGATCTTGCAGACAATGCCCTTCAGACACAAAAATACAAGACGAATTGAAGGCCTTGATAGCAATGTGTGGTAAGTAAGAGGAAAATATCTGCAAATTTCAGAAAATGTCTTTGGCTGATGTATTTTCTTTCCAAAAAGATAATTGTTGCCAATAATAAGATACATGGCAGTTGCTATCTCTGCTGGAATGTATTTGGCACCTGTTTAGAAGCAGTGAATTAAATTCAATTAAAGGTATGATTAATTGTTATTTTTGAGCTTTAAATATTAGGCTTGGGCTCTTCATCTATTAAACCATGTAAGACAAGTATAACTTATAGGCTTGGAAGTATAGCTGATTTTCAAATTTAAATGTTAATTCTGTTGAGTAATGTATTTCAATTATGCCTTATTTGTATTTACCAAACAAGACAGACTTTTTTAAAGCCATTATACTTATTTTATAATTCAGCTCATTATTTTTAATACATCTTTTTCTAAGTATTAAATTGGTCTTAAAACAATGCCACCAATGATAAATATGGAATTTTCTTAGTTGGTGAAAAGACTATTTTGAGCTTACCTTAGTTGTATGTATGTGTTGCATTAGTTGTGTGTACATATACGCAAGGTATTCTGATATTCAGCCTCAAGGTAATTTTTAGCAATTTGTATTTATTTTTGACAGAACTGTGATGCTATGTGGGGAGGGTAAAGATGGGGGGAGGGTTGTTTTGTTTTATAAATCTTGTTAACATTTCAGTGTTGAGGAAAGAGTAAAATGTAAAGCTGACCTGTGAAGGGAGGAAGGAAAAATTGTTCAAGGATCCTGCAGGCTACTAGGAACAGTTAATAGGCAGCCTGAAACAGTCTGTTGCCTAAAATTATTTTAAAAAATTATAGCACTCTGAGGTGACTGGGTAGTCAATTGACTGAATTTAACCTTTAAGACATTTAACGTGCCTGGAATTCAATTTTTGCCTATGTCCAGAGTAAGTGTGTATTTCTTTATTTGCACATCTGAGTACACTTCTGGCAGAAAAGTTATTCTGTGGATGGAGAACATCAGCCTTTTCTTGGGTGTCCTCTGACTCTGAAATAAGGTCACTGACATTATTTCAGCCCTCAGCTCTCCATGTGGGCATTCTACTTAAACCTGTTACCACTGCTGCAAATTCGGCAAACTGAAATACTTTTGCTTTGCCTTCTAATGCTAATGAATAAAAAGATAATTTTATCTTGTATGTTAACTTTAAGTTGTTTTTCCCTCCAGGGTTGAATTTACAAAAGTGGCAGCAGATCCCTCAATTGTTAATCTTGGTCAAGGCCTTCCAGATATATCCCCTCCCAGCTATGTTAAAGAAGAGCTGGCAAAGGTGGCAGCAGTGGACAGACTGAACCAGTACACCCGAGGCTTTGTAAGTAATGTGGAACTCCAGGACCCAGGTTCAGAGGAAAATGTACCACAAGGAAAAAAAAATGACTTTAAATTAATTTTATCTATAGATCATAGTCTTATATCCCAAATTAAGTAGATCTAGTAGCCTTAACTGTTACTAATGAACTTCCTCTGTGTAGGCTTCTTTGAGGCAGAATCCTTCAGCAAGAGCAAAATGGTAGAGCAGGTCTGGGATAGACTGTCTCTGAGGAGTTGATCCTGTTTAAAGAGTGTAGGTTATACATATTTACCTCTGACTTTGGTCAGTGGGAACATGAATCAGACAGTACAATGGGAGAATGAGAAATACTTGATACCACTTGAGACACCACCTCTAGGATCAAGAAGAAATTCACCCACAGAACTTAGTAGGTTTCAGTGTAGACTAGGAAAGGATAGAAACAAGAAGTTTTTGCCTCTGGAATACATTCATTACCCATTCTGTAAACTGGCTTGTAGAGTTTCTGTCTTGAGCTGGATGTGAGTATGTGGCATTTATCATTGTTCAAGGCAGGGTATTCCAGGGGACAACTACTGTTTTAGTATGACCACTTCCTTGTTTGGTTTGTCTGTCTTCTGTTTTGTGATAAACTGTATTGCCCAAATGAGAATCATGTGCCAGGACTGCTACAAGACCCTGAGGAGTCTATCAAGTATTTTTCAAGCTGACTATGTTATGCAACAGGGGCAGAAGAGCAATGTATAGACCAGTAGGCCAGAAACTGTGTTGGTAGTTGTGGAATCATGGTGTGCATATTCCTACATAACTTTCTGCCTGTTCTCTGAGAGGCCACATGGATTAGAAATGATGGGGATCAGCAGTGGCCAGCACTTCCCTAGGGACAAGCTCTCACAGTGAGCAGAGTGGAGGTCTGGGCAGTTGTGTCCTGTGGAGCAAGGCATGTCCAGAGATACTGGCTGAGGCAGCTCAGCTCACCTGAGATCAAGCCAGGAAGTCAGTCCACAGGTCAGGCTCAGCAAAGCTCACCATAGTCAGACATAACCCAGTCATCACTGGGCAGCTCTAGGTGACACAGCAGGTCTAAGGTCAAGCCACAAAATCAACAGGGACCTTTAGCTATGTACAAAGAGTCTCTGCAAACACAAAATACATACATACATACATACATACATACATACATATATACATACATATAAATATACACACACACGTAACAAAAAATTCTCTCTATGTGGACTTGAAAGAATAAAGCAATTATTTTATGTCAGATACATGCACATGATATCCTGAATTAAGTGAACTTCTGGGCTAAGCATTAGTATGTTCCTTACCCACAATAAGGTATCTGGAAAGTCTTTGTTCACCAACAAGACAATGTTTTGGAGAAGCCTTGGCACAATGGACTGGAGAACATGGGCTGCAGTCTTGTCTGGCTGCTGCACTGTAACACACTTTACCAGATACTAAGAAGAACATTAACTTTATCTCAAGCTGAAACCATGCCAAGTCTACCTTCTGACAAATATTTGCAGACTGATTCTGTAAAACTATTTGAAAATCAAGCATAAATATAGTTTTCTAATGCATGCAATTATTCAGTATTTATTCTTGTCACTTTGTTCTTTATATCCAAATGGTTTGATAATTCCCGTGATAATTATGGATATTGACAGATAAACTGCAGATAGTAATTAAAGAGGATTTTTTACTAATATTCCCATATTTAACCTTTGTATTTCATTTACAAACTTCTGCACTTTTAAGGTTTTGTGCACAAGTATTTATGGTAGCACAAGTGGTGAGAATGAATGATGCCCATGCATCTGATAATTGAGACAATTGTCTCAGCTAAACTCAGAACTCTCAATGACTGTAGGACCAGAGAGCGGCCTTATGTGGCTTGGGTGCTGCAGCATTCCTGTCTTGCTGACTGGCTTGTGGCAAGAAATGGCTGTCATTTGAATCAGCAATGATTTGTAAGCCTTAATTTATGGTAATGTTTTTGTTTACAGAAGGGTTCATGATTTAATGCCTTGTGTGTTGAGATATAATGTTCAATATATGAGAGAATTTTTGTTACATAGTTGCATTTTCTCAAGGAGCTGTTTTCTATTTCTACCAGGTATCTCAAAAGAAAAAAATATTTTTAAAGTAAGAATCCTTCCGTTTTCCTGAATAAATAGAATTGTTCCTTCTTATTTCCATGTTGTATATGATCTTCATTGGATGTTTGTTTTCTTTTATTTTTGAGAAGAGTGTGTTAACTGTCATGTCCCTGGAGAGGACACAAATGGTGAATAGTACTCTGAAATTTGGCATGTGACTGTATTTATATATATATAGTTAAATATATATATAAATATAGTCATATATAAATATATTATATATATAAATATTTTATACTGTATACATATATTATACTATATAAATATTTTGGTCACAAGTGCTATTTATCAGCAATATATAAATACAATAGAAATATTTTCCTTGTACCAAATACTTTTAGTTGAAAGATAAGGAAGGAAACAGAAAGAGCTGAAAGACTCAAAAGAAGGTGAGGGTGGATTGGTGTCAGAGTACTCCCTTCTCTCCTTCTGTCTCTTGTCCTAGCTTTGCTATAGGCTATCTGGACCTACTCTGAGATGTGATAATATGAAAGAAATTAAAAAGCACCAGATAGAAAACTAATTTCCAAGTAGATACAAATAAATTGAAAACATTTTTCTTTCCTAGTGTGTAAATTGTTTAAACCCAGCTAACAGCCGTTAACACTGAGGACTAATGTTAACTAGTAATTTTGTAATTTTGTAAACTATTACAAAATGTAATAGTTTGGCACAAGTGGGAAATAGCCCAAACACGGATTTTATCCATTGTCAGGAACACTCTAATTGGTTACTTTTTTTTTATTTTGAACAGGGACATCCATCACTGGTGAAAGAGGGAGATGAAGTAAGTTTTTATTGAAAATACACATGTATACTTGCAGACATGAGAATCTTTCTCTTTTTCTTGTTTGTTTACTTCTAAATATAAGTTAATGTTGGGGCTTCTTTCTGTCCCTATTGGTTTGATTTTTTACAGTTGTACATCTGACTTACAGTTTCAGAAGCTGTGATTAGGAGGCTATCCTTGGGGTCTTCCTGTCACTCATCAACTTACAAATACCTTTTCTCACACTTAGGGTATCTGTGGCACTTTCTCTATCACTGTTACCGTTAGGTGACACAATACACACTGATTTCTTATCTGAGAAAACGTGGGCTGTTGTCTGCAGCAGACAGCTAAGGGTGGCACAAAGAATTGTTGGAGTTTGGGTAACCATTGTGTATCAGGTTCTGTTTTGGGCCATTGCACAGTGGCAGCGTAGATAGCAGGAAAGCTTGTTAGTTTACTGTACTAGCTGTGATAACCTGAATCTTCACTATTATTAACATCTGCCTTTTGGACAATGATATTAAAAGTCATTTTACAGGAATATTTCCATCCATAGCAGACAAAACCTTTTTGTGTTATCATGTATTTTGCTTTCAGTGTTTTATTTCGTTTGTATATTGTATTCTCATCTTGCTTTTCTGTTGCTCTGATAATCACTTCTCTCTTGCTTGGAATAGTTCTATTAGCCTTTGCTTTTGACAGGGTTTTCTGTTTGTTTTGTTTTCCTATTGTCTAGTCTCTGTGCAGTTTTTCTGGAGTTTGTCCTCATTCTTTACCTGAGAATTTTTGTCTGATACGATTTGAGGACTTAACTGTTCTTCTGAGATTTCTAGATACTTGGAAATCTTGGAATTTCATGGGCATAATTAGAGCAGCTCTGCTGTGGTTCAGTAATTTGCTATTGCTATTTCCCATCTTTGCCTTGCACCTTCAAATCTGTGTGTAGGACCCAAACATTCTTCTTATTATAACTCAATAGTTGAAATGTGTAACTATAGAAAGACAGCCTGTGTGTGTTGTCAAAAATGAGTAGTGCTTATCATACCTAGCCTGAGGGCATTATTGTGTTGTACTCTTAAAAGGAGGAATATTCTGCAATGTTATAACATTAAACCTGGAGTGCCAGAAACATTATCAAGTTATGGCACCAAGGTAAATGTAGAAATATGATGGTATCATGCACACTAAACTCTTTGTTTCTGATACTGATGATTGTAATTTCAGGTAATAATAATAGAGCCATTTTATGACTGTTATGAGCCAATGGTAAAGATGGCGGGTGCCAAGCCTGTTTTTATCCCACTCAGATGTGTAAGTAACTTTTTAAAAATTACTAATTATATAAAGATTGTCATTCATATTCAGTACAGTTTGATGAACACCTATATGATGCTTTTGTGTATAAAATTACGTAAAAATGAGATAGATTGCTACAGTGCAAGTCTGAGACAATGATAATCCAAAAGAGCTAGAATATTTTATTAGTGTAGGAGAAGGTTTCTTATTTGCTTTAATTTGTGCATTCTGAAAGCTGATTAAAACTGCTTTCTTCAGCTTTCAGTGCAAATTATGGAAGGGGGATCCACGTGTCGGTGTGATTTCTCTGTCAGTTGGTTTCAAGAGATTTGCTGCCTGATCCCTACAGCAATTCCTACAATGACAGAATACAGTTTCTTTTCCAAAATATGCTTGCTAAATAAGGACTGATCATGTAGTAGATGTATTTGCTATGCATACAAGAATTACTATTTCCTTTATTGTTAAATAGGCTACGGGTTAATTGTCAAATTGGTACTGGTGGCATTATGCCCACAGCTTGCCAGGATTGCTCTGTATGCCAACTGTGCCTTGTGCAACTAGCAGCCTTGCATGGGAAGGGCTGAAGGGCTCTTTGGGCAGGGCTGTTGCAGAACCACCATGAAATCAGAACAACACAGAGTGACAAAACCTCCAGGACTGCAGTGGTAGTAGGTGAAGCTGTCCCTCTGGATGCCCACCTTCTAGGGATGTTTCAAATGACAGGGCACCTCCAAGTATTTTCTGTTTCACACCCTTGTTTTCAGTGTGGCCCTCTCCCAGTCATTGCAGGTGTCAGAAGGGTAGTGTGGCCATGCTCTATGTTCTCTGTAACAACTGGCCCAAACTTCTTAACCATTTGTAATACCTCAGGGATACTTGTATCATGTAGTATATAAACTCCAGAGATTCAGTAGTGCAGATTTTTAACTCTTAGACCACTTTCATTAGTTTAAGGAGAACAAAAAGACCTTGAATCCCCAGTGGTAATCAGTCTTTTCAGTCAAGCAAGCACACACTTGCTCTACTGTCTGGCAAGGCTGTAAGCTCTCCTGCCATGTGACTGGGCTTTCTGCATTACACACTGTAATGATCAGCATATGTGCAGTAAGATCCTGGAAACTAATTCCTGCAGGGGCATTAAGACAGACAGTGGCCAGGAGAGGACAGCCACTATCATAATAGTTTACCTGTTCCTAGAATTACCTTCTCTCAGGTAAGCAAGATTGGATAGGTTGTCACATATGGTTATGAAAGTGTTTGAGGGTGATAAGTTGATCAGGTTTCTTTAGGCTGCAACATGTATTAAAGTTGTGCATGAATTTATTGTGGTTTTGTGTTTTATTGGTTTTCTTTAGAAAAATGATGGAAACTCTGCATCTAGTGCTGATTGGGTCTTAGATCCTGCTGAACTTGCAAATAAATTCAATTCCAAAACAAAAGCAATTATTCTGAATACTCCACACAACCCGATAGGCAAGGTAAGAGTCCTACATTAACACCACTTTAATTTCAAAGAATGCCTTAAATACTGTGATTAATGCATTTTGCTTTACTTTTTCTGTATCCCAGGTTTTTACCCGAGAAGAGCTCCAAGTAATAGCTGATCTCTGTATTAAACACGACACTCTGTGCATCAGTGATGAGGTGTATGAATGGCTAGTGTATAAAGGGAAGAAACACATTAAAATAGGTATTGATTTTTTGTGGCATCTTAAAAGTGGTTGTGGAATGATTCTGGGACCAAGGATAATGCTTGCTGGAAGAAGCTCAAACTTCAAGCTTTGAAATTTTTCAATGTTTAGGCTCTAAGGAGGAGAGCCCCTCTCTTTTCTAAAAAATATTCTAAAGAATAATTTCCAAATAGAATTTCCAAAGCTCATAAGTGACTTTGGAGCAGCTATCCATAGAAACCAGTGGGACTGATGCTTGTCAGTTATGATCATATGAATTTGCTGTCCTTATTCAGTTACTTTGTTGACCACACAAGTGTAGCTGCTGTTACTGTATGTGTATTAGACAGTGTTTTGCTTAAGAGCTAATAGAAGGAACAGGAATTAGAACTTCCTTCTCAAAGCTTTGTAGAGATAATCAGCGAGGGAGATGGACAATGAGGAACACAATTATTTTTGCTCCCCTTATTATAAAAACTAAAAAATAGTATAAAGGTCATTGTGGAGATAGTGCATGAGTGCTGAACCTCCAAAGGATGGAGACGGGGTTATATACTGAACATTGAATTCAGTGAAGTAAATCCTGTAAGTGCAGTATGAAAGCCTGTTAAATCTTCAGGTAGTGTTGCTACAGGGGTAAAGCGTCATTGCAAGAACAAACAAATGAATAAATAATGATGCCAGGTTCCTGATCCTCTTGTTTCACTTGATCCAAGGTTCACTGAAGTTAGTAGAATCACTCCCACTGCCTCAGAACAACTTAACCTAGTGCAAGTTACTGAACTCCTTTGCCAGCTCTATAATGCTACAGCTATGTATTTCTGTGAAAGCTTCTAGTCAGGTCACCTTGGGTTGGCTCTGCTGATTTATTTGAAAAGTCCAAAACTTCCTTCTCATATGTACAGATATTTTGTTTCTGACGATGAGCTACCTGTTCTGATGTACTTATTGAAGGCACATTTCAGTCATGTGCAATAGAGGCATATAGTTAAGGTTAAACAATGAAATCAAGACACTTAAGTAGAAATTACACATGAAAAGACTTACCTTTTTTCCTGGCTCTGCCACTGGTTGAATGCTGAATAACTTTGCTTCAATTCCATATTTGTAGAGTGACATTAAAGTCCATTGGTGAGGGCTACCTCACTATGAAAATTGAATCTTATGAGTAATAGAGAATTGCATCTAAATGACCTTGTAATACTTGTGAGCTCAGCTGCACAGCTGCTGATCGTCCAGCTGCAGTACACTGATTGTATTGGCCATGCATAGTCTCTGAGTCTATTTTGAGGGTGACTTAATTCCATGGCTGTTGTGGTTACCTTGGTAGTGATACTGTTTCAAAGACATTCAGACACAGAAGAAGGAGAACATTTTGAGTACATTAACGTGATAGTAATCTGAGTCACTGCATCCTAACAGGTTACTTGACAGTAACTGATCATGTGTCCCAGTTGCGAAGTGAAAGTTAAATTAAAGATTTCTTCATGGGCTTAGCAGGTGTTTCATGGCCTTAGCATTTCAAGCAAGGCTATCTTCAGAATCAAAATCTTTGTGTGTGGTGTAAGGTAATCCCTTTTCCTTTTCAACAGCAGCAGGTCCAAACACACTGTCAGCTACACTTCATCTTATGGACAGGTGGCGAATTCTTAAGATGCAGTAACTCCATTGTCATCAGCATCTTAATGCTTCAAACAGAAACATTTCCAGTTGAACAAAAGGCATTCTGTAATTTAGTACTAAATGTAAAAATACTATATAAAGAAAATGCAATTTAAAGCCCAGAAAGTTAGTTGACTACATTTAGGTACAGATTCTCTAACAGATCCCATGATATCATCTTTCACTTTAGTGTTAAAAGTACTCTAGAACTTTCAGGGTAATGCTGTAAACAATAACATTATATGAGTGAAAGAAGCAGGCTCTGCTCATTTTTTACTTAAGTTTCTGATATTCCTTATTACTTTTAAATCTACAAAAATAATGCAATAAATATGAATGTGTTATTTCCCTATTTATAAACACTTGTGTTTCCATAATAACCTCTACCTCCATAAATACCTCTAATATTCTATCCAATGCAGTGAGGTGTTTTTTTTTGTGGGAGATACAAAACGGATATTGCATCAATTTGCAGGATCTGATAGTTGTTCCTTGATACAATTTAGCAGGGATGGCTAGCCACAGATCATAAAATTAGTACAGTCTTTGTGCTGTCACTGAAGCAGTTTTCTGTAGTGTAGAGCACTTCATCATGTTTCACATCATCTGACTTCTGGAAAAACATGGACTCCCTCTGCATAATGATTAGGGTTACACTGACAGATTTAGAGATTGCACCTCATAACTGAGGATTCTGAACAAGCCACTCAACAAGCTGAGTACCATCCCAGGTAACAGGCTTATTATATGCTAGTTTGCACTTCATTAGTTTTTAAATTGTAGTGAGACTTGGTTATGGTGTCGTATGATGTCATATGTGGCTGCCAAGTGGCATGGGGGAATTTCCCTCTCTATTTAAAACTTGTTTATGAAAGCAACAGAGCTGTTTCTTTCTCTGTGCCCTTGTGCAGCTGCTATTGCTCGAATTCCTGTGACTGTGTGGCAAAACAGGCTTGCTAGAGGCCATTAGCTTTGAAAGCCAATTCTTTTTGCAGTCTGTGGGAGCTAGTTTGGATGCCTCTAGGAAGTGATCTATACTGCTAGCCTAGCTCAGTAGAAGATGGGGTAGATCTATTCAAACCTTTTCTTTTCAAGGTCACAGGGTAGTTGAGTATGGGTAGGCTCATGGGAAATCTGTTTCTTTCATGCCGTTTAGTTTCTCCTCTTGGTAAGTTTGCTCAAAAATTTGCAATACGTGTTTTCAAATAACTGAAAGATTTATACCATGTCTAATACCAATAATTGCCACAAAAACTTCATTGTGAAATGCAGGGGTTTAATTTGGAAAATCTTTGTTAATTGGTCTTGCTAGAGAGGGAATTTAACAACTGACAGATTCATTGGCAGTGGTTCTAGTATAGAACTGAGGTGAAGACAGATGTTAGTGACTACTGTAATTGTAACCTTGTCTGACTTTGTGTCTCAGACTTCTGTGTGTCTGGATTTATCTGTTTCTCTTGAAATTAAGTTAGAGTCCAAGTAGAGCTTTGCAGCAGCTGTATAGAGGAAAAAAATATTGCAAACTACAGGAAGAGACCTTTGCTCTGTCATCTTCTTGGAAAGGAAACAAAGAATTTTGGTCTCCTATCAGATACAACTACAAAGACAGAGACAGGCCTCTGTGAATCCCTTAATCCTTGCAGACATTTTAGCTAACTGCTGTTGTCAGCCAGTCTCAGGCCTATTCAAATTGTACAATACAGCATAATTTATTTACTCACTCTGCTAGTTTTTGTGGTGTTCTGTTGTTTGGTTCTGGGTTAGAAGTCTTAGCAATTATTTTATTTTTCTGATGTCTGAGATGGCCAGTGACACTGAACTGGACAATTCTAGTAAGCGGGGTTGCAGTGCCTGAGTTAATGTTGTGTATAGTACTATCACCAGGCATCAGAAATAATCTGAATGGGTAGCCTTAGATCATATTTTTCTTATGGATAATTGTGCATTTTTTCTGAGGATAACTAACATGTAGTTTTCAAACCGTACCTCTTATTTTCTGTCTCTTCTTTCTCCTTTCATTAATCCTTACCTTCTTTTCATGCTAAAAAGCACTGGCCCATCCTTTCTCATTTGTTACAATTGCTATAATTTTAAAATATTCTAATTGTTTGCTTAAGATGCTGCAATGAACATACAGCTCTGAGCTAGGGGCAGTGCAGTTCTTCAAACTACATGGAATATGTGAGTGCACCTGTACCAAATTAATTTTATTTTATATACAGCTACGTTGCCAGGTATGTGGGAAAGAACAGTAACTATAGGAAGTGCTGGGAAAACATACAGTGTAACTGGTTGGAAGGTAAGAAGAATCAATATAAATGAGTTAAGTGATATAAATAACAGAATGCATTTATTATTCTAAGAACTCCTCTGTTTTTATAACCTGTGTTCTGAAAGTTTCTGGCAAATCTTCATGTCTCCAAAATGAGACAATACCATTCAGTTGGAGCAATTACCTATCTTTAACACCCATGTCTTAATTATCTTTCTGTCTCTTAATTAATAAACTCTTGTGAACATAAATTACTAAAAAGCCACCACAATAATATTTGTTCAACATAAGTAAAGATTCTTGGAGAAGACATGGATATTATGATATTTTAACTTCCCCGTTTTCCCATCTTGTCTTTTAAATATGTATTAGAAAGTGAAAAAAAAATAAATAAATTGGCAACTAAATTCTTCATCATCTGTGTTCAAACTGAACCACAGCATATATGATTCAGTAGTGAGCTTTTTATATTCAAACTGGCTTTGACACAGGAGCTTAAGAGATGGAAAGGTTCTAAACCAATTAGATAAATAATAAATGTTCAGTTTGATTTCTAACCCTTGTCATATGAAGAGTTAAAAGTTTGCTTAGTATCCTATGAGAGATAGGTTTAAGGGAAATTATAACTGTTGTCTCAAATCTACCATTTTTTAAAGGTGTCATACACCAAACTTTGTGTAAACCATCTTTTTTCTTAATAATTTATCAAAACAAATTCTTAAAATGGAAAAACTCAAGACATTGGCTAATTTTTGGTATTTGTTATCTTTTAGTAAGACCACTGCCCATATGTATAATATATGCATGCTTTCCTCCCTCAGCTTGGTTGGTCCATTGGTCCTGAGTACCTGATTAAGCATTTGCAAGTTGTTCACCAAAATACGCTATATACTTGCCCAACTCCATTACAGGTAGGTACAGATGGGACAAAGGAGAATTTTTTATGGTCTAAGAAAGCTGTTGGCCTCATGTAATTAAACAATAATCACAACAATGAATTTTTAGTGGTCAAAATGCACATTCTAGGGTGTAAGAAGAGGAAATAAATTTGATCAGCTCACCAGACATTTAAAACAAAAATCAGTCTTGCAGATTCTTTCATCTTTCACCTACAAATTACTTCTTGCATAAAAAATTACAATCTTAATGGTTTCCTAGAGAATATAAATGAAAGTTCTGTCTACTAGTGTCTAGTATTCTATGGTACATTATTATCAAACAATTAAATTTAACTTCAATTCATAAAGATGGTAAGTCAGATGGTAAACCCTTGTGTCAAGGACTCTGACTTCTGTATATGATTAGCGCCTAGCAAAAGACTGGGTGTTTTGGGTGTTGCCACAGCACAAAGTAACCAACAGATTACAGATGTAGCTTGTGTAATTTGTGTGGTGATTTGGTTAACAAGGACCAGGATTGAACAAAAATCCATGTGATTTCAGCAGGAAGTGTGAGTGTCTGTGAGTTTACTGAGTGTTAATGAGTACTTTGGACCTTATGTTTCCAGGAGGCTTTGGCACAGGCATTTTGGATAGACTATAAGCGCATGGATGACCCAGACTGCTATTTTCACTCCCTGTCTCGAGAGCTGGAAAGCAAGCGTGATCGGATGGCCCAGCTACTGAAAGAGGCTGGGCTAAAGCCTGTCGTTCCAGATGGAGGATACTTTATGATTGTTGATGTTTCCATGTTAAGTCAGTATAAAGTTCATTAAAGAGTGTGTAGAAAATAAATTTGGTTATTCAGAAAATGCAGCTTTCATTTTACACTATATTCTCATCTCATATGCATACATATATGTGCTTAATGTTGTCAGGAGTACTAACTGGGATTGAAATTTTAAGTTTCACCTTAGCTGGTAAGGTAGATTTTATGAGCTTCAGCAAAGCATTTGTGATCCTAACTTGTCCATGTTTTGCAAAGCTTTGATAAATCTTTAAAGAGGATAAAGGAGTATTCGTATTTTCAAAATGTCTATGATTATGAAAATGTTTGAGAGCCAAGCATCTGGATAATATTCTGAGTTCATACCATTTGTATTTTCCTCTTTCTGGTCTTTTTTTGTTTGTTTCTTTGTTTTTCCTAATCTGAAGTCACACCCTAAAGGCTCTTTGAAGCATTCTGATCTCTAAACACTGTAAATTTACAAACCTTTTGAAAATTCAGGTTATGGCAGCTTCAGAGGAAGAATTCCAATAGGGGAAAGTTTTTTAGTTCCACATTTTTTCACTAACTGGTCTAAACGGCATTTATTGTTCAGACTGGAATGTTAAAACACAGAAGGATAACACAGTTTAATCATGTGTCGGAAAGTTTTACATAGCCTGGTTTCACAGATAACAAAACTGAATTTTCAGGGATTATTGCTGGCCATGCAGGAAATGCACTCTTCAGTACCCTCCATAGCCCTGATCCTCCAATAGCCTAGGCTTCAGGACTTCTTGGAGTATTACATGGCTTTCTTCTGAGCTGCATGTCTGAATTTGCTTTAGATGGAAAGCAAGTGCTCAGATCAGAAGGGAAAGGTTCAATCTGTTGGCCTATTTTACTTCTTATAGTATAATTTTAAATTTATATATTAAAATAAAACATATATCTTCATTCTTAAGTATTAACTGTAATAAAATGCTGTTAATGAATGCCTTCCCACTGGAGTCTAGGAAATCTTACAATATATTTGTTTTACATTTAGATGTGGATCTCTCTGATGTAGATGAGAAACAACCTTATGATTATAAATTTGTCAAATGGATGATAGCATCTAAGGTAAGATGTCTTAGTCATACTCTAGTTTTAGAAATGCTTTTCTATTGAAAGCAAGAGCAGTGCAACTATAGTTATTAAATAATGTAGTAGAGATGTTCCATTCAAAATAATATTTGGTGTTGTTGATAATGGTGTAACTAAAATATTACTAAGTATGTCGAAAATGTACACTGTAGGTTTCTGCTACATCCCAGCACTTTTCTTTCAGCATGCTTAAGTGTTAGTTGTACAAAAGTACCTTTTAAATATTTACCTAAGGAAAGTAATTTGAATTTAGCAAAGCCAAGCTGGTGCATGAAAAGCCGAACCTTGTCTTTCCCTCATGTGTTGGGAGGGAGAGTTTTAGAAACAGAATAATAAGATCATCATACTTAAACCAGATTTTTTATACACATTCAAATAAGAAAATGCTATTTCTGTTTTATGTTTCAGAAGCTGTCAGCAATTCCTCTTTCAGCATTCTGTGGTCCTGAGACAAAGAAACAGTTTGAAAAATACATACGTTTTTGCTTCATTAAGGTAAACTTGTGTCCTGAAAATCAGTTCAGAAAAGGAATCTGCAAGACACTGACTATTGCATTTTTCCCAGGATCTCTTGTATTGAAAGCTTTTAGGAACATAAAATTAGTTTGGTGTAAAATTCAGCACAAAGTATCTTCAATTGTCATTTTTTCTGAGGGACTTTATGCCATCAGTGAGGGTGGCATGGCTAAGGAAAACTGGCAGAAAACAACTGGATGGGTAGCCCTTTTAAGCTTATTGTATTGATTTTTAAAACATTCTTGACCAGTGGAGACAGTGAAAATTATTGAGACAGGTAAACTGTCAATTAATGTGATACCCATAATCCAGAGCAGAGAATAGCTGCATAGCAGAGTGTGGGCCCCATGGCCATTCAGTGTCCAACAGCAAAAACTGTGAAGAGGTCACCTTCAAATTCAGCTCACTTGCCTGAAAATATAGAGTTTCATGAGTTCTAAATTACAAAAGAAAATGTGTTTTTTTGTGAATTGGCTGATTTTTGCCATTTTGTGAGGACCCTCTTTGCACATATTCTTCCCCCTGTTAAGTCTGTTCTTGAAAGGCTGAAAGACTTTGGGGACACCTAAGTAAACTTTGGTAAGCCCAAAGCCCTAAGATGTTTCCCAATTGTTCTGTTACAGAGTCAGCATAATGGAACATGTGCAAATCCTGAACTGTGTAAAGATCAGAGCCTTAGCCTGAAACAGTAATGAAGGAGAGTTTCTCCTTCTGTTACCTCTTTCGATGAGATAAAAAGTCTATGGTATAAACTGAGCCAGTAACAAGCAGGATGCAGTTACTGGTTGTACCTGTGGCTGATAAACAGCACTAATTGTTTCAAGTTAGACTGCCTGTATGACTCACCAGGCTGGAGCCAAACTACACAGTTTGGAGGGATTATGTTTAAGTATTTCACAGCATAACATAGTTGCAAGGAGATTAAAAAATCCCAAATGTACTCACAGGGATGAGGAAAGTGTGCTAGCATGTCTCCAAACCAGAGCTGCTAAGTTACATCACTGCATTAATGCCATGAATTTATGTAAGTATTGCTTTCATTAAATGGGATAAAATGAATGCAGAGATGATTTCTTTTAAATATATCTAATAAATATTTTCAAGGAATCATCATTGAATTCTTTGTATAGTCCAGATTTGTACCTAGTAACTGTCAGTGAAAAAATGGCTGAAAAGATATTTACAGGATGCAACTGAAACAACCAAATACTGATTTGAAATGATATAATCATGACTGACTCTTTTTCAGGAACTCCATTCTTCCATTAATAGTGTTGTTCCTTATTTTGCAGAAAGACAGCACACTAGATGCAGCTGAAGTGATCCTGAAGAACTGGAATAAACAGACAGGCTGATTTTTCTTATTATTCTCTTCCATGTAGTATAACTATCTAATACTAGGGGTTTTTTTTAATTGGAAATTTAAGAAAAAATTACTTAATACAGTAGAAAATAAATATGACATTGTAAGTAACTTTTTGCTGCTACCTGCTGAGGAGTTAAAACAATGATTTTCTGAAATACATGTAATGTAACTCAGAGGTTATTTTCAGTCTTTTAAAAATAAATTGCTTTTCTCTTAAAGAAATTCCAATGGAATTAATTTCTTTTACTGAAAGAAAAGATTTATAGGACTCTGTAAAATAAATAAATAATATAAGTATTTTAAATCTTACAAGTAAAAAGGGGGAGGTGTTTTTGGTTTGAGATAGTATGGGATCGAGAGAGAGATTTAGAAACATCTTAGTTTGTGAAACCAAATAACCTGCAGTAGAGGAAGATTAAGACCTGTGGCTCATGGGTAATCATGATTATCATGGATAATTGCAGTGACTCTCCATACCTGCCTACCTACTCTGTCTACAGAAATTGCACCAGTTTAAATAAAATGAAAAGTGCTAAGTAACATAATTCCTATTTTATTTCCCACAATAGTCATGTGTGGTGTTCTGAAAGTATTCAATCCCCAATACAATTATAGAAGTGGCATCTAGAATAGGAATTCTATTTGCTTATGTCTACCTTGTATTTATTACATGGATGAATCTACGAAGCAAAGTATAGAAGTCTTTGCTTCAGAGGCTCCTTTACAATCTGATATACAATGACATAATTATTTGTGTCATTCTTTTTCTTTCCATGTTACAACATTGGCAATGTCACACCAAACTTACTTCAAACTCTTTTGATCTAGAGGGGCCATGGAGGTGGGCCTAATGCTGTTCTGTGGAGCTCAACCACCTTGGATTCAAGCACAGTAGATAAAGGACTTTTTTTAAAAGAAGTCAGTATGGAGAATTCCTTTCTAGCTGTCTCCTTTTTCACTTTTTTCTGCAATCTTTTAATCAGTGGATGGGTTTCCCAATAGCAGAAGCAATCCAGTAGGTGACTTTTTAAGGCTGTGTGCTTTGTTCTTCATGATCTTTCTATGTTCTTCTCATGGGCTGTCCTGGTTTCAGATGGGATAGAGTTAATTTTATTCTCAGTACCTGCTAAGCTTTGGATTCAGTATGGGAATTATGTTGATAACACACTGGTATTTTGGTTGTTTCTAAGTTGCATTTATCCTAAATCAAGGACTTTTTTGTGTCTCCTGTTCTGCCAGTGAGAAGGAGCAAAAAATTAAAGAAAGCTCTGAGGGAACATAGCTGGACAAGTGATCTGAACTGGCCAAAGGGATATTCACACCATCAAATGTCATGCCCAGTACATCAGCTGGGGAGTTAGTAGGAAGGGGGAGCTGATCAGGCTTCAGGAATGGGGTCTGGCATCAGTCAGTGAGTGCTAAGCAACTGTATTGTGCATTACTTGTTTTTATTTTTGTTAATTCTTTTATAATTATAATTATTATTATTATTATTATTATTATTATTATTATTATTATTATTATTATTATTATTATTATTATTATTATTATTATTATACTTTGTTTCAATTATTAAACTGTTTCTATCTCAACCCACAGGTTTTACTTTTGAGTCTTCTCTCCATTCTGCCAGTCTGGGGTGGTGGGTGAGTGAGCAGCTGCGGGGTGCTTGTTGCTAGCTGGGCTTAGACAACGACACAGCTCTTATGGTGCAAAGCCTGAACAAAATCAGTGACTTGTTTTGCCAATGCTTTACTTGTTCTGTGATCGCATAGCTGGACTCTTAACTGAATTCCATTAGACTGTGACCATGGCCAGGACCTAAAAAAAGGTATAGAAACTGGACTGGGAGAAGAACTGCTAGATTTTTTCATTAATGTGTTGGTCTTGGGCTTTTGGGAGTCCAGTAGCTGGGTCTTCCATAGTCTTTGTAGCTGTCTTGCATAGCCATTCCCCAAATCTCACCAGAAGATCACTGGGTGGTATTTTGAAAGGGGTGTGTATCTTTGTATAGAAAAATCAATTCAGCAATTAGACTCACTTAGCTGAAATTTCAGAATTAATTTAATTTAAAAATTCCTACATTAAATTCCAGGATAAACTATTTTTTTTACACTAAATTTCTGTGAAATCTACACTCTGTTTTACAAGGAGTTTAAAATCTGTTTATGCAAGCTGCACTGGGGAGCTGTGATGTTGCAGGAACTAAGAGATTGCAACAGGCTATTGAACTGCATGATAAATCAACAAACCATTACAAAGGTCCTTTAGACATACAAATAAGAACCAGTGATTTGTTTTCATTAATGTACTGTTCATTGTGTTTGCAAAGGAATCTGAATATCCCATTGCACTACTGTTGAAATGATGCTGGTAATATTACCAATGCAAGAATTGCAGTTTAATTACAGACTTTTATTACTGACAGTAACCAGCATGAGAAACTTGGTGTGAAATTTTAAGAAACTCCAGAATGACCAATGAAACAAGCTTTAAAATAGGAGTATTGTGACTACAGTGATGGGACAGAACAGCTGGGGACAGCAAGGTAAACTTTGTGTATTATTAAAACAATCTGTTGACAGAGAGTGTAAATAGTGATACTTCCATTTGCCACATCAACTTCTTGTCTGCTGCTTGAAAAATTGCTGCAGACAAGGAACAAAGTATTCATGATACATCATCTATTGCATTTTTGCAACATTTCTGAAAATTACTGTCCTTCTGTGGTGAAAATGAAATTCCTTCAATTCCAAGTTAACAAGAATATGGTTAGGAGGGTTGACAGTGATTGCAAGCAGAACATCTTTTTTGTAGAACAGAATGCAGGAGAAACCAAGACAAAACTGGAAAGCTTGAAGGGCCTCATTGTGGTGATGAGGCACATCTGTTGCAGTCATTGCCCCACACATACTTCAGAGGTTATGGAGGAACTTGGTATCATGTGCTGTAGTCACACTGACAGTTACAGTGGTTTGTTTTTTGTTACTCTTTCAGCTTTTGGGTTTATTGAGCATTTCTGAAAAAGAACATTGCAAGTGGAAAAGAAGTTTTAAATTTGTATGTCAGCATCTCTATTTTCTAATAGTTCAGCTTTCTTATATTCCAAAAGGTTTCTATTTTTATTTATTTTTTTAATCCTGGGGAATTTGCTGTCAAGTTTAAAGTTTCCCATTTTCAACCAGCAAACAGTACTGCAGTTGGTGGAGAACTGTTTGGAGGTTGTGTGATAATTAGGTTGACTCAATCTTAGCAAGTGTTAGAGAACTTTTCAACCACAGGGAATTTCTTCCTTTGAACTAGTAAATTGAAAAATATTCTTGTGATTTAGTGAAGACATGGTGTCTTAACTGGTGTGAAAAGTTCTATGTACCTGATTAATAAACAGATAACAAGTTTATAACTGTTGGAAGACTTCAATAGTGATCACTCTGAAGCATTGAAATAATGGCACTTTCCAAAATCTCTAAGACCCTCCTGTCCCGTTCATCCTTCTCTTTTAGCGAGGGAATAAATTTCTTTTCCACTGCTTTATTGCTTGAGCTTGAAAACCATCTAGCTGTTGCCGGTCGTTCTACAAACTAATTTTGCATACGGATGAACTGTTGGGTAGTGAAAGCCAGGACCCGAGTCCACTGCTGAAGGGCTTTGCTCTTGCGAAGAGCAGTTTTTTGCGGTTTCTCCTCCTCTTTGGCCTGCTGCTCTCTACCAAGGTGGATGCAAGGGGGAGAGACAGAAGGGGAGCTGATCGCACCATGCGGGTGTACCGCTTAACAAGGGAAGCCCACACAAACCAGCGGGCTTTGAGTTTGCTTCAGTCAGCCCGAGCATCCGAGCACGGCCTGTTTGCCGAGAGCCTCCGAGTCACAGCCGGCCCGACTCCTGCGGGGCCCGCCCAGAGAAGCGCCAGCTTCTTCTCGTCATTCCGACAGCACGGTGCCGAGCCGCAGCAGCTGCAGCGGGCAATGGCAGGAAGAGGAACTACACTTTTCTTCCGGGAATTGGTCTCTGCTTAGTTTCAGAGCCAGGAACGCGTTGTACCCCGTGTACTTCTGTGCAAACTTGGGGCAGTTTTGCTCATGCTTGTCTTTTGTGGGAATTCACGAAACTGCTAGAGCGTTCCCAAGGGCAGCTGAACCGGAGTCACGGCGGTGGGCTTTGCGCAGGTGCTCTGCGGGCTGCTGCCCGAGCCGAGAGCGCATTTCCGGCCCATGGCCCGCAGCGGCACCAGCGAGGGCCGGCCCGCCCGTGCGCCCGCCCCCTCGCGGCCTCCGTAGGAGCGCTCGG